CGCCGAAGGCAAGGAAGACATCGGTACTATGCAAGGTTTCCTCATCGGTCTCAAGGACCCCAAGGTAGGTGGAAACATGAGCAGTGCATGTTCATAAGTATGTCTCGCTGAATGGGTTCGCTATCGTCAGATCTACGCCCTTATCTTCATGAACATGATGTCTCAGTGCATGGGTTCGATCGCCAATTTCTTCCCGACCATCGTCAAGACCTTGGGCTACAACAACATCAAGACTCTCCTTCTGACCGCTCCCCCTTATGTCTTTGCTGGTTTCTACTACTGCGGGCTTACATGGTACAGCGATGTAAGTTTCGCAATTCTTGTAACTGGATGAAGAATCAGGATCGCTGACATTACTTTGCCACTCCAGCGACGAAACTCGATGTACTTCCCCATCTTGTTCTGTCTCTGTCTCGCCTCTATCACCTACATCATCTCTCTTGCTACGACCAACACTGCCGCTCGATACACTGCCATGATCTTCATGCCTTCAGGGAGTGTCGGCCCTCAGTTGCTTCTCTACAAGACCATCAACCATCACATGCCCCGACCCGTGGCCAAGCGAGCCGCTGCGATTGCCATGATGAACGCCATCGGTGGTACTTCCAATGTCTGGACCAGTTACCTCTGGTACGACGGACCCCGATACTTTGCTGCTTTCGGTGCTCGTGAGTGACTCATTGACATGTGAATCTTAGCACGAGATTTTGTGCTGATCACCCTTCTGAATACGTAGTGCTCGCCTCGGGCTTCATTTTCGCCCTCACTCTCACCGGATACAGATGGTTCATCCTTCGAGAAAACAGGAAGTTGGACGCCGGTGGCGACACTGCACGAGAGACAATGAAGTACGGTATCACCGAGCAGATGATCGACCTCGGATGGCGACACGAGGGTTTCTAAGGTCCGGCGGTCTCTTAGGCTCCGGGAATGGGGGTCTCTCTCGAGATACCCTCCTTCTCGAGGCTCCATCTGATGGATATGGTAGCCAAATACGAGCGGAAAATTCCTGGTCTTTTGTTCCAGCGCTAGTTCAGAAATTGATGTGTACATTCCGGTCGGCGTATGATTTTTTTATCACTTAGCACTAGTACTCTTAGTGGTAGTAGCAGGTAGTAGTCTGCCCCAGAGGTGAGATAACGGAAGAATCGTCTTTGTACACTCTTGTTGTTCTTCGGATGAAGAGGTTGTTTTCACCATGCATCGATCACCGTTCACCTTCAACGATCGGGCAGAGTTTGCGCTACAGGCGAAAAAGAGGACAGAAAAACGTAGCCTCTTGACTCTGCTTGGAGGGTCCTCTGGTGGGTGGCGAAGACGGATATCAAGCTTCTCTTGCAACCTGTGCCCACGTCTATTGATCATACAGTTTGGAATACGGCAAAGCCTACGTATTTCGCTTGTCAAAGCCAAAAGCTGTCAATGTGGCGCAAGGTGTCAGGTGATCATGGCTACTGTAGGGCAGGGTCTGGCCGAAGAGCGAAGGCAATTAACCGAACCGTCTAAAGCCGTGATAAGAGAAATTCGATTGTATACGTTCCCCGCGCAGCAGCCCTGAATCCCAGTAACGGGTCGTATGGTGGGTGCCCTTCCCTCTAGATCCTATTGGGCTGCTGCATGATATGCATGACCAAGGACTATCTTGGTTTTACCTCATGTTGCTATTGCTTTGATTGACTGTCAGAGAACTCGTCACATAAGTCGCCTTTGTTTTGGTTTCGGTTTTGGTTCGTCACATAACATCGAGTCAGCCAATTCGACGATGCAACGCACCCGGTCATACTCGACAACGTCATCAGGTGAATCCAGCTCGCCAACCAACGTCAGCGTACTCTTGGCTACCGGTTTGCAGCCATTCCAGTGCCCAGTCTGCCAGCGGCGCTTCACTCGGCATGTAAGTTGGGCTACCCTCTTATTTCATAGAGTGAAAAGAAGTGCTGAGTACCTCTTACCGCAATCACAGGAGAACCTGAAGCGCCATACGGTTATACATCAAAGCTCAGGTTCCGACACCAAGTTCAGCTGTTTCTACTGCGAGAAGACCTTTGCGCGGCGGGATCTGCGGAAACGGCATCTCAAGAAACAGCATCCAGATCGGCCTGAAACCCCACCAAGCGACAACAATACTCAGCAAACCCATCAAGAGCCGTTAGTGGGAGAAGCGGTCGCGCAAGACCCGCAGCGCATACAACCTGCACCAGTATCTTCTTCAAGCCTGTTCGACCTGGTGCAACTCGAGGATGTCTTCTTGCCACTCACTTCGAGCACACAATCGGCCATAGGTACGACTGGCAACTTCAGTCAAGGGTTGCATCCCAGCGAGCCTTCGATGGAGGATCGATCTGGAGGTGGAGAGACGTTTGACATGGCTTCGTTGATAGGATCAGATGAGTGCAGAGGTGCGATTCCGCATACAGGCAGCGTAAGCGGTAAGTGAGCATCTGATCAGATCATTTAATTGAGACAGATCTGACCCGGTAGAGAAGACCGTCGCCCTAGCATCGCTCATTCACAGAATTCTCACTTCTCCGGCCGTACCGATCGTGATCGCGAAAGCCCTCGAGAGGATGTCATTTCCCAATCGGTCGTCTCGACAGGTGTCAACCTCTTCTTCCGCCACGTCTCTGGCTATCTGCCCTTTATCCACCAAGCGACATTCTCCTCGCACGAGGCACCTGAGCACCTCCTCATGGCCATGCTGAGCGTCAGTCTACAATTTCTGGGTGACCAAGAACGCGGAATGCAGATGGGAAGACAATGCTTCTTACGCGGGAAACGGTTGTTAGAAGTGGACGACGAGTCTCGGGGTGGTGAACTAGGGGTCGTACGCCTCGACGTGATACAGGCGTATATACTGCTGGAGCTGCACGCGATCATGATATCATCCGGATCGGAGAGCTCATATGGATTGAGGATGCACAGCAAGATGATTGAAGTGAGTTTGTTGCGCCTATGAGGAGATCTCATGCTGATGCAGTGAGGTTGATGCAGCTGGCTCGAACGGGAGGATTGACCGATCCATATCCCACGCAAGCAGGGAACACAGGTGATCTTGATTCTTTATGGCGGCAATCCATCAGAGCAGAGAGTCACAAGAGGTGAGTAAAACATACCCTGTGCCTGTGACCCATGGCTGATTCAATAACCCCAATAGGACGTTGTTCGCTGCCTACAACCTGGACGTGCTGTGGTACCACACACTATCTCTGCCTAGGACACTATCCCACCTTGAGATCAAGCATGATCTGCCCTGCCCAGAGGATATCTGGACGGTGACCTCTGCGTCGGAATGGGCGCATAAAACTCTCGTCAACAAGGACAACAAGACGCCGCCTCGGTATTTGACAGCGGTGCGGGCATGTGTCACACCAAATGCATCTCTGGACGTATCCACGCTGGACGCTCACGGCAGTCTGATGATCATTGGGTTCCTCTTGAGTAGTGTGAGGGAGATGTCGGGCTGGTCGACGATGACGGGCAAAGTGTGTACGGAGCGTTTCGAGGTGAGTAGGTATGCGCTTCCCTGCAACTTGAAGTCGAAAATGAGCTTACCTCACGCCCCGCATCAGGCCCTGCACGTCTCGTTATTGGGTTTCGAGCCGATCATTGAGCGAGAGGCCGATTCATCCTCGCCAATGTCGATCCTTCTCCAGGCAGCATGGCATACGGCTATCATAGAGCTACTTTTGTGGTCACCATCCCATACCAACGGGGTTGTTGAGCGGAGTCTCGACGCCGCCATGGCAGCTTCGTGAGTGATTCTATCTTGAACCCTCTCTTTAGCCTTCCAGTCTTTATGCTGACACCTCTGCTCCAGCACTCGACTGAGCAACTCCCTATCGACTCTATCCTCACCTTTGGTCGCCTCTTCGGTAGAAAGGCATCTTCAGTGGTTCCTCACGTATCTCGACACCGCTGCGCCTGAGACCGAAGCCCCTTGGATGCCCATCTTCGCCTACAAGGCAGTCCTGATTACCTGGCAACTAGTCAGAACCGGCTGTCTGGAACCGTTGAGAATATTAGGTGTGGCAGATGCCGATGCGATGTTGAGGTGGATCAAGAAGGTCTTTGATAAGCGGAAACATTGGGTAGTGGGCCGGACGGTTATTGCGAGTCTGTGCGAGCTGGATACTGTGTCGGATCAGATGATGTGTTGTATGTAGATTTTGCTGGAGCTTGTACTAGATAGGTTATATTGTCAATTTTCCTTGTGCGTTGTATTGCTAGTCATGTAGATGGCACGATATGAGAATCATCGTCGGCCCTCGAACCATGGAGGTGCTTGTGCTTCTTCGGTGTTCATAAGGTCCTCCCACAGGGCTGCGTACGTTGCAGGTAGGTTCTAACAGGCTGACATCGCATGCCGAATGAATCTTCACGGTATGTGTCATGATGATCAGCCTAAGCCCCGGTCGAGGGACCTACACAATCGCCCAACGATTTCCAGGACGCATGAGAGACGTGCTATGTCGTCGATCGTGGCTCTCCTGAGCTAATATCGACGAAATAGACGTTGTGATAGGGAAAACCCGGGAGACGTGCTACTTCAACACTCGCAGCTACTCTGAGCTGATATCGACGAGACAGACGAAATGGCAGGAACAAGATACTCAGCGGGATGACCTGGAAAGGCCAATGCGGACCGGAGGCGTAAACAGAGCGATATGATCAAATTCATGACTAACGATGTCAATAATGGTCGATATAACCGACTACTAATCACTAAACCACAAAAGGGAGCAATCGGAATCACCGCTCGCCTCGGTGTTCCGCCGGTTATGTAGACTTGTCACGCGCCTATCATGACAGCGAGGCGACAGCGAGGCGATTGTTGGGCAGAGGGAAGAATGCGCGATGGGTTCTTTGCGCGATCTGCGTTGCATGCATTGTTGCAAAGAATCAATTAGAGAGTTGACGCGCGGGAAGCCGGGAAGCACCACAGATCTGGGGAAAAGAAAGTGTTTATATTGATACCAATCAAGACAAAAATGTATGTTATCTCTTCGTTAGTATAACGGTTAGTATATCCGCTTCTCATGAGCGACTACAGTCGTTTCTTTCCGCGGGTGATCTGGGTTCGATTCCCAGACGGAGAATAGCTTTTCCTTTTTGGAGCGTGCCACTTGGCTTATAACTGGTCTACCGGCGCTCAGGTTTTCACCGCTTCCTGCAGATCATGAGAAGCGCCGCTTCGTTATATTAACCGTTATACTAATGAACATTCGATGTATTGCTGGGAATGTTGTTGAGTATATAGCCAATGACGGCGTAGGCAGGTGAGCTCGCTGGACCTTTCCAGCCGGCGACAGATACTTCCATCTCGAAATGGCAGATCATGATCGCTATCGTCCTCCCCTCCATCTCGCTCTTCAACAGCTTAATTGCCGCTGCCGGATTCGGTCCGCTGGAAAACCGATCCCCCTCCTCCCAGCCCTTGAAGTCAAATGTCACACATGGTGTCCGGGTACAAAGTCGTTACTGGGATCATCAAATGCTGCATATGGGTAACACGATACCATGCCTTGGGAAATCTGATGTGCCTGCTCTACAAAATCGTTGTAAAACGGCAGGCAATAAATAGCCTGCCTATGTTGCATTCATATACATGATTACTTCTTGTAGATACAAATGATGCTGTGTATCGCACATTCAGGAGAAGAATATGTAGCCAGACGAGATTGTACACATAGAGGAATTATCCTCAAGGCGATAGTGAACGATGATATGACAATGAGATCGACACATGTCAACAAGAGATAAAGGTGAGTGCGGCGAGTGTGAATTATGTTGAGTCGCAAGTGTCGAAAGGAACATAGAGTGTGAGGCAGAGAAACAAGAGTCATGAGTCAGCTCGAATCACATTTGCAAATAAAATGTAGCAGACTTGCTCTTCATCTTCCAAGACGTGGCTATTTGGAGCACACAAAGATCCAGTTAGCAAAGACAGTGTACTATTGTAAAATTCACAAGATCCGAACTCACTCTAACCCGACCTTCTGACCTCGAGCATGCTTCGCAGACGTTCCCCATACCATCGCTGATGAATCAAAGTTAGACGAAGTTAAGAACATGAGCGGTGAGCGTGTATGGGTTGTATTTTGTGGAGGGTAGCTCACCATTTCGGAACTGTTTGACGATCTCCTTGTGAATCGCGTTACAGAAATCTTCAACCGTACATCGACCACGACGGAGGACAACAGGTGAAGAGTAATCGGGTTGCTGTCCTCGAGGTTTTGTGTAGCTAAAATCGAATCCTGATTAGACCTTCTGGCCAGGCAAAGGAGACTCTCAGATCGCTCATGCACTTACATTCGCACAAGGTTCAGCTTGTCCCACATCACCTCACGAAGTTCGTCGATATTCAACCACATCTTGGATGAGATCGGCACAGAGTTGGGAATCTGCAATACCAATCTTTAGCCGAGAGACATCAAGAGCTCAGTCAGATTATCTCAGTGATACTCACCTTGTACAGCAGGTCCAGCTCCTCGATACTGATGGCGTCGATCTTGTTGAGCACAAAGATGGCGGGGACATACACTCTGATAGAGGTGGAGGCAAGAGAGGCATGAGCTTTCCTGGCAAGGCGTTCGAAGAGCTGAACCGACTCACCGGTTACCCTCGACAACGTCGATGAAATCCTCAATCGTAGCATCCGGCTGATGGATCGATACAGCCGCATTACTCATCTTATACTCTCCCAACACTGCTCGAATCTCTTGCGCATCGATCTTGGTGAGAGGGACCGTATTCGTAATGGCGATCTACAAGACGAATCTGATCAGCGGACTATCTTTAGACAATCAAGTGGTTCATCCGCTCACACCTCCGCTCTCCTTCTTCTTGACGGTGATAGCTGGCGGCTTCTTGTTCAGTCGGATACCGAAACCTTCCAACTCGTTGGTCAAGATCGCCAAGTCGTTCAAGGGCTTGAGCACGTCAAGTACGATGAAGATGAGGTTACAAGTCCGCGCGACAGCGATGACCTGTCGACCTCGACCTTTACCGTCCTTGGCACCTTCGATAATACCTGTGAGCGGAGATCAGGGGGGACATCCAGCATCAGTCATTGCCTTGAAGCGCTAAAGCCAGCACCTCGCAAGTGAAGTCGGATTGGTGACGCACCTGGCAAATCCAAGACTTGTATACGGGCACCATTCTGGGTCAAGGTTCCCGGTACCGTTGTCAAGGTTGTGAATTCGTATGACGCAGCTTCCGAGTGTGTTCCGCTGATGATCCACACCAAGTTAGTATCTCTGTCCCACATAAGCCTTGGGGTTGCTACTCACGTAAGCTTAGACATCAGCGTAGATTTGCCCTACAGTAAGCATCAATCGTAGGTTATCAGCTCTGCTCTGGACATGATTGAGGGTAACGTGTACGTACCACAGAGGGGAATCCGACGAATCCGACGCTCGCAATACCCGTTCTGGCCACATCGAAACCAATACCTGGCCCTCCACCACCACCTCCAGAGGGCGTGATGAGCTCTCTACGCAGCTTGGCAAGCTTGGCTACGAGTGTGAGTGTCTCACCTGTCAGCAAGATACGGTTCACGCTGATACAGAAATTATCGACTCGCTCACCTTTCAACTGGCCCAGATGGTACCTTTTGTGGGGTGTCAGCTTCGTCAGCTCCAACATGATCTGGATGGAATCCCTCTCTCGAAAGCTCACTCGGTATTCTTGTTCCTCTGCGATGGTAGAAATGACATCAGCTCCAATCACAGAGTTCAATCAAGAGTGATTGACGGCAAACTCACCTGCGTCTTCGCCATCTCCTCCTCAATGTCCTTGATCTGAAACGGAAGGTCCCGTCAGCACATACTTGAGGTATCGTAGTGCAATTCTCTTGGCCCAGACTAGGTTTTATCGCCAAATGCCCTCACCTTTTGAGCGGTAGTCATTTTGGGCGACTATTCTATTATTTCGTTTTTCGTTTCGTTTGGTTTCAGCTTCGCTTCTGCTACGGTTTATGAGTTGTGTTTGTTCTGTGGGAGGCCGTTATGCCGACTATTGCTTGAGTGAGTCGTTCGGTCCAGATGTATAGCGATGTCTCAGTGATGCCTCAAGCTTTATGAGGTATGTCTATAACCAAAGTATGATAGGTCGGAAAAAGCGAGGGGTCTGTTGAAAATGTTGAACAATGTCGAACCGGACAGAAGAAAGAAAGGGTCAGTGACGATGGTCAGGAATGAATGGGTTGGGTGGTCGCTCGCGTGTGGTAACTACAAATTTTGGTTGTCTTGATTAGAACCCCAACTGACCTTTCCTAATGTGTTAGTTATTACCTCTGTGAGCCCTTGAAATTATCTCGTAACGTAATAATCCGCCGAGTGCAACCTTAGGTATAGGTTATCGTAGGTTTGCCGCTTAGTAGTAGACTTAGTGGTACTCGCTCACTCGCTCACTCGCTCAGTGTGTATGTTTAGTGTCCAAACCCATCGTCAAAGCTTCGTCAACCTATCTTCTTCCTCATAATCATCAATCAACTACTTTTTTACCTTGACCTTGCCTGACCGTTGTACCATCATCAATCAAGTCCTGCCTGTGAACTACGACCTTCCTTCTTCTTCCCGTTGAGGTGTCCACGCCCATCATGGCGCACCCACTCACTCAACAGCCGCCATCGTCCCTCCCCTTCGCATTCGCCGCCAAGCCGTCCCCTCTCTCATTCGGCTTTGGGCTCCCCTCGACTCCCGTGCCATTCAGCTCCCCCTCTCAATCGTTCCCCTCCCCATCGGCGTCAGGGTCTGGCTTCCGAGCTTCGGGTAGCAACAATGCGTCGAATTGGCCCATTTCAAGCCCTTCGCCTACCAAGCTCACAGCGCTGAGGTCGAGACCAGCCCTGACTCCTACCCCTAGTCACGGTCAAGGGCTCGCAGCGACACCGAGCGGCGGCGCACCAATATCTTCGCTCAAACGATCACGCCGCTCGAGGTCCCCCTCGTCTTCTCCTCCACTATCTCCCAATTCTTTCGCATCTTCTTCCTCATTGTCACGCCCTGTTGATCCGAGTGCAGCTGCCGCAGGCCAAGCAACCAAGGTTGATCTGTCGGCTGTAGCTGGACTCGCTCTGGGAGATGGCAATTCGTCTGGGTCAGGGCTGTTGGGTATGAACGACACTCAGAAGACTGCAAAGAGGAGTCGATTGGTGCGTTCTGTGGCTGAAAGCGCTGCGACATCAACATCAACATCCGCATCTGAGAATCTAGACGTTGGCATTCTTCTAGGTGAGTGGATTATCTCCAGATTCAGGTCGATCATATAGCATCCTATGAGGGTACTGCCGCTAATACTCGCGTGCCCTCTATCCCGTATAGCGAGCTTGCCCGCATCGGCGCACCTGCCCATCCTACTTAAACTCCTCCAAGCACACCCCGGCCTTTCGGACGAAGTTCTGCCCCAGATTCCCCGACCAGACCTGCGGGCCTGTGTGAAAGAACTACAACTCATCTTTGATCGAGTGCAGAAGGTCGCCGGGCCCAGCGTCGGCGTGAGCTTTGGTGCGGCAGGAGCGTCTGAGAATCAGATTGCGGAGAGTAGGAGGTGGGAACGTTCCAAGGAGGAAGTGGATATGTTCTGTCGGACTGTACGTTTGGCTCTTCATCCCTTACCGCGCGTCTCATAGTGACGGAACAATCCAGCTAATTTCCCTTGGCTCACTCCCGCAGGCATCAACCTACATCCGATACTTCACCTCGCCTCCGACGAAACCCTCGAATTCGAGCCAGTCCGTTGACTTTCAATCGCTCTTTGTGTTTTTCCACCCACTAACCAACCAGCTCTACCACCTCCTTCGACTTGTCCCGTCATCTTCAACGTCCAATGGCGTACTGGACCTTGCGAAACTTATTCTGTCCAGCTGGACCACATGGGTCGACACCCTCTCGCGGGAAGTCAATGGCTCGGGAGGGATGTATCCCCATTCCCTCGTGACCCAATGGGCCGATTCTCTGGATCAGCTCACCTCGGGTACAACCTCTGGTGCTTTTTCATCTTCAGCAACGCCAACTCAAACTCCAACGTTTGGCTGGTTGACTCCCCAGCAATCCCCTGCTGCGCACCACTGGTCCTCCTCGTCCTTTTCTGGATC